AGACTTAAGCAGCTAATCATAGGTGTCCGTGGTGCGTGTCCCTGTTCGTTAATTGGAGTCGCGAACAAGAACCAAGTAAAAAACCGACACGAAGAAGGGAAGAGTAAGGAAAAACGGAGGAGAACCAACGAAATCAACCGAGTATCATCGTCGTCGCGAGCAACCATGTACTTCCATCAGCATCAAATTGAAAAATAATATCGATACCCGAAATGTGACATAATTGCTCGCTCACATTGCCTCGATGTAGCCGCGATTACATTCTGCATGATAATTACAAATTTCACTTCCCCTCATTTCTGATTCTTTTCTTAATCTTCTTCCTACCACAATTTTTTCTCGATTGGTTCCGTTCAGCAGCTCGGTGCGAGTAAATGCGCTCGTTCAGAACTATCGACTTTTAATAATCGCTTGTGAAACTCGTTAAGATTCCATCGGTTAATCGATGTAATACGCGCATTTCTCTTCTAATTGGCGAAATCGAGGTCTCAATTGGGATCAGGCGAAACCGGCCACTTCCACCGTTTTACCGATCAGCAACGAACGGATCCGAAAATTACGAGAAAACAGGATGCAAAAAGAAATTGGACATCAACAACTCATGGCTTATCGTCGTATCTATCAGAAAACGAAAGTCTCTTTATCCGGATGAATGATCGGTAAAATTATGATCTTAAACCAAGAATTCAATCTCGCTTTGAATCTTTTTGCGATCGTAAATGAAGCACAAAAATAAGATGAAACGACCATTGGAGATAGGACTAATTTCTATGAATCTTTTAACATAATTTTGATGATTTTTTATCCAATCGACATAAAAATGTCATTTAATTCTGGCCTAGAAGTTTTGAAACCACATTTTCAAAGTCTTTTCTGAAAAACCTGACGGTTTTTAAAATCAGCCAATAGAGATCTTTATCCGTCAATATTCAGTGTTAGTTGGAGCAATATGTACTGATGTTATATGATCATTTTGTTTCTCAAACCATTGTGTGCAATAACAAATCACGAACGATACTCATCATTGTTGTAACACCATTTAGTTCGTATATGCAGTATTTTGTCGTACAAATGATATACATGACGATAACAGCAAAATTGAATTTTGTCACAGATACCTATAGTAGTTTTAGAAAGAAATCACACGAAGTAGAGTATGAAACATAATCTTACAAATATCCTCTTCGAAATATAATTATTATTATCTATTGTTTATTACAAAGTTAAAAATAAATTAAAGAAAAATTTTTCGATTTTCATATCCCGGGCTGCAAAAAGTAAAATTAATGGCCGATACCTTTTAGCAGACTAGAGTGTTAAAAGATAGACAGACGTATGTATATGCGTGTCGCCCACGCAGCAATACTGAACATCTACGGTACCTGCGCGTACATACCTGCACGAATACGCTTACCTCATGTAGAAAAAAGGAAAATAAACACGTCCTTCGACGAAGATAATCGAAGGTACGGACATGGTCCCCAGGAATTATTGTACTAAGCGAGGTGCCACGAGCGGGTGCCAAGGTACCGAGTATTATCCTATTAGAATAAATGCAAAGTGGCGTTCTACTATCTTTTTCGATCTCGATGTACCTCTTTCTTATCTTTCCATCTCTTTTTCCGACTTTCTTATCTTCCAACCAATTTTCTCCTCCTCCAATCCGTCTCTCTTTTTTTCTCTGTTTTTCTTTATTCATCGTTCGTCAACTCATAAACGTATTCGCATCCTCTCTGTCTGTTCGGTACAGGTTCGCATCTGGCCTGGCACAAGGGTGGAAAATGGGAGGCAGTCGGAGCGGTAGGATGCATTTACATGATATGAATATAATGGAGAGGGCCGGGTCGCTGGCAAACCCAGACTACGAGAGCGCTACCTGTTGAACGGAGAGTTCAAACCCGCAGTGACACGATATATTCGGCCGGTTTGGACCAAGCGGTCTCCCCCAATCATTCTTCGAAATCATTTCTGAATCTTTCATTCGTCTCTATTCGAGTTCACCGGCATCTATTAACTCGAGACATTATTTTACTCATTAAATATTACACAGAAACGAATAGGAAGGAAAATTTTTTCATTCGGAATGAATCGCAAAGAAATATCAAATACATTGATAGATCGACCTTAAACGTATACTTGGACAGCGACAGGAATAACTTTCGTGAGAAGAAACGATCCTTTTGGCAAAGAAACAGTGAGTCGGAGAATTACGCGAGAAAACTGAAGAGGAAATGTCACCTGTCCAATTAAGGACCACTCTCTCTATCAGCAATACGATCTGTCGCCGCGCGCACGAGACCAAGCTCCGTTCTACGAAACGGAAACAAACGTCGTCACAGGCATAAATATGTATAGGATAGAGCTTGTGTCACTCGACCGGGACGTTTCCCTTCTTCCCCTCGGTTTTCTTTCAATGCATCTCGTCTCATCGAACAGTCATCGGTTTCTGCTGGATTATGCGCTCATCGAGTGGAGGTAGGTAGATGCAAACCATAAGCAC